TTACATCTTATTCAAAAGTGTCTACACAATTTTTAGGTTCACAGTTGCATTAATGCAGTTATACAATATTGAACTCAGTATAAACCCAGTAAGAAACAGAATTGAATGAGTTTTTAAAATTTAAAAAAGATCTCCATTTCATTTTAAAATATACTGTTTCTTACAGAAAGAGAAATTGTTTTTGCCAATAACACTGTGATGGTGGCACAAGCATCTCTAATCTGTATGTATCCGATATTACTAGTTATAATTGGTTGCACTCGGATTCTTGGCACATGGATGTCTATAAAGTCATCAGGTAGATTTCAGTGGTAATGTTTATCACCTCTACTAATAAACATGAGGTAACTTTTTATGCTTCCACCTCAAATATAATTCACTTTTTTAAACTTGTTGATTTGTTGTGTGTGTGTGTATCACACAGAATATCCCAAACTATTTTATCCATTTATACACCCACTTCCCAGATGGCACCCTCCCATAGCCTCCTCCCCACTAGAGCCCTTATACTCTGTCATCCCTGCTACTGTCCACTGTGTTGTCGGCCCCCCTAGCTGTTCCCCACTACTTGTCCATCCCGTGAATTCAGTCAGCCTATCTAGAGGATTTTGGTTTAGGAAAGTCAGCTGTTCCTCATCTAGGAGGAATCAGTTGTCAATATTCCTTTAGATAAGAGTGGGGTCTGCTGTTCATTTTCCCAGTTCTACGCTGGGTTACTATCTGGGAGTCCCTTGGGCCACCCTGGCCAACAACTCAAAAGAAGGTATCTCTTATCTGGCAGTATTGCTTGTTATGTAGCCTTTAGCTATACATACAGACTATAAAAAAATTATATTGGCCCTTTTAGTCTTTGGTTATACTTTTCCTTTTGGGTGTTAAAGGCCATGAAGTTGGTTCAGATAAACCAATTTATTTTTCCTCTTCAGGCCATTTGAGGACCTGTTCCTCGGGGGTCACATGGGCTTGGGAGGAGCCCCTTGCTCCTTTCTTTTACCAGTTCCATCTATGTAAAGATAAGTCAAAGGTCCAACTCGACCATGGCTGGCTTTGCTTGGAAGCATGGAGGAAATGTTTCCTCTCTGTTGACCCTCCTCTTTGTAGACTGGACACAGGTTCAAGCCCAAATCGTTGGGTCTCCACTGCCTCCTTGATCAAGAGGATAGGTGACCCACCACAGTTACAGGACATTTTGAGAGATGCTCATAGTCCCCTGGAACTAGTCTACCTAGGAGGACAAGGAGCAATAACTGCCCTATATGTCCCTCTGACCAAATTAGAATACAACTCAAAGTATGTCTCTTAAACATCCAAGAAGGTTAGTTCCACCAGCCTGGTACTTTTAATTACTGTGTGACATGTAGATAAATCTTGGGTAAAGACCAATTGTTCTCAGATAAACCTTGCCTAGACATATATTTCTTCATCTGGTATGTATAATTTGCCAGTAGGTTGTTTGACTAAAATGGTTCCCTTTGTTTTTTAAAACTAGATAGGCATTATTTATCTCTCACATTATCTAACCCCTCCATCATGGTTTCCCCAATCAAGGTGCTCCATTTTTCCCCTTTTTCCCTTAATAATACCCTTCTCCTATGGTCCTACCTCTCTTGAGCTCCTTCTTTCAATTTATTCCCCAAGTTCCTTGTATATCCTTTCCTTACCCCTCAAACTAGCCCAATATTTATCCATATTTCATATGTTAATGTGTTTCCTATTGTTCATCTCTTTTAGGTTCTTTCTTTTCCTTTACCTTCCTGTTTCCTTTCCATTATCCTGGTTCCTGTAGCCATGTCTGGATACATACTCACTTATCAGGATTTGATTCTAGGATCTACATATGAGGGAGAAACTATGTCGATTTTTCTTCTGAGTGTGTGTTACTTCACTTAGTATAACAGTTTCTATTTCCATCCATTTACCTGCAAATTTCATAATTTCATCTTTCTTTACTGCTGAGTAAAACTCCATCATATAAATGAACCACCTATTCATTACCCACTTGTCTGTTGAGGGATACTTAGGTTGCTTCCATCTCTTAGCTATTGTGAAAAGAGCAGCAACAAACATGGATGTACAAGTGTCTCTGCAATAGGATGTGTTCTTTGGGTATATGCCAAGGAGTGGTATAACTGGGTCAAATGGTAGGCTCATTTGTAGTTTTTAGACAGTTCTCCACACTGCTTTCCATAGGGGTTGAACAAGGTTAAAGCCCCACCAGCAGTGGATGAGTGTTCCCCTTTCTCCACATCCTCTCCAGCATTTGGAATCATTTGTTTTCCCGATCTTAGCCAGTATGACTGGGGTAATATGAAATCTTAAATTTGTTTTAATTTGCATTTCAATTTCAAGTAAATTCAATTACTAGTGATATTGAATATCATCTAAGATGCTTCTTAGCCATCTTTACTTCTTTTGAGAACTCTCTGTTCAGCTCCTTAGCCCATCTTTTAATTGGGTTACTTCTATCTTGATTCTTTTTTTTTTTTGAGTTTGTTTTATATTCTGGATGTTAAACCTCTGTCAGATATGATGCTAGTGAAGTTTCTCTTCCATTCTGTGGTTATTTTCTTCACTTCCTTGTTTCCCTCCTCTGAAGTACAGAAGCTTTTTAGTTTAATGAGGTCCCAGTTGATCCCAATTGGTCCCAATTGATTTTTGACCTTATTTCCTGGAAATTGATGTCCGGTTTAGAAAATCCTTTCCTATGCCTACATCTGGTAGGTTTTTGCTGAAATTTTCTTCTAACAGTGTCAGAGTTTGAGGCTTTACATTGAGGTCTTTGACCCATTTGGAAGTGACTTTTGTCCAAGGTGAAAGATGGGGATGTAGTTTTATTCTTCTACAGGTGGAGATCCAGTTTTGCCAGCACAATTTGCTGAACATGATGTCTTTCCTCCAGTTAATGTTCTTGGGCCCTTTGTCAAATATCAGGTGGCTGAAATTTCATGTACTCATATTTGGGTCTTCGATTTTGTTCCATTGATCTATGGGTCTATTTTTGTGCTAGTGCCATTTTGTTTTTATGACTATATCTCTGTAATACAGTTTAAAATCTGGTGTAGTAATCTTCCCAGCATTGCTCTTAGTGTTCAGGGTTTCTTTGGTATCTGAGGTCTTTTGTGCTCCCATATGACTCTTAGGATGGATGTTTCCAATTCTGTGAAAAATGTCATGGGGATTTTGATTGGCATTGCATTGACTCTATAAATGGATATTGGTAGGATGGTCATTTTCACAATATTGATTCTTCTAATCCATGAGCATGGGAGGTCTTTCCATCTTCTGATGTCTTCCTCAATTTCTTTCTTTAAGGATTTACAACTTTCATTGAAGAGGTCTTTAATGTCTTTGGTCATGTTTATTCCAAGATATTTTATTTCTTTGGAGCTATTGTGAAAGGGAGTGTTTCCATGTATTCTTTCTCTGGTTGCTTGTTATTGGTATACAGAAATGCTACAGACTTTTGTAGATTAATTTTGTAAACTGACACTTTACTGAATGTGTTAATCATTTCTAGGAGTTTTATGGTGGAATTTTTGGCATCTCTTATTTATAATATCATCTGCAAAAGGGGATAATTCGATCTTTTCTTTTCCAATTATTACTCCTTTAATTTCCTGATCTTGTCTTATTGCTCTTGCAGAATCTTCAAGCACTGTGTTAAAGAGGCATGGAAATAGTGGACAGCCTTGTCTGGTTCCTGACTTCAATTGCAATGCTTCCAGTTTTCCTCCATTTAGAATGATGTTGACTGTGGGTTTTTTATATATGGCTTTAATTATGCTGAGGTATGTTCCCCCCAGTCCAATTACCTCTAGGACTTTGAACATAAATGTGTGTTGAATTTTGTCAAAGGCCTTCTCTGCATCTATTCAGATGACCGTGGGGTTCTTGTCTTTGAGCCATTTATATGATTTATGATGTTTATTGACTGACGTATGTTGAACCATCCCTGCATCTCTGTAATAAAGACAACTTAATCATGGTGTATGATCTTTTTATGTGTGTCTATATGAAGCTTGCAAGCATCTTGTTGAGAATTTTTGCATCTATGTTCATTAAAGATAAGGATCTATAGTTTTCTTTTGTGGTTGATTCATTACCTGGCTTTAGTATTAGTATTAGAGACCACTCAAGCAAAGATTATGAAAAATTTAAGAAATCACAAGAATGGAATATGCAGGAATTTTGTGACACCATAAAAAGACAAAACTTATGAATCATAGGCATACAGGAAGGAGAAGAATCCCAAGATAATTTCATGGACCAGATCTTCGACAGAATTGTGGAAGAAAGCTTCCCCAAATTAAAGAAAT